TTATTTATGAGCATACGTTATTATGTATTATGACCGCTCTAATGGTCATTGTTTTATTGATCGGAAATATAATTACCTATTATCTTAATTACTTGAATACTACAAATACTTTCCTGAGTGCCTTACGTAAAAGTCAACGGAATTATAAACCTTTTTAAAGAATGAGTACTTAGTTACGTGAGAAAATAGGATGTAACTTAAATATATTATTGCAAATAAGTAGGTCGGTATGGGAGACAAATATTTGTGTTTTCTTTCAAAGCGTATCGCGTATTGATCTGGTTGAAAATATTTTTATAGAAACGCCGTTGTTTTGCCAATATATCTCCGCAATACATTTATTTTATCCTTCGGTCTATATCGATCGCTTTGCACGCATATACTCGTATGCCTCCTTGACGAAAGTAAAGGCTTCCACTTGTGATTTACCCGAATTTCGTTTAGCCGATACCATTCATCTTACTTTTTTTTACCAGCCACAAATTTGTTTGAAAAGCATGGTTTAAAAAAAAGTCCAACGTCCCTTGTATGGGTGTAATTTAACTTACTTTTTACACTATTGCATGGTAAGCGGTTACCGTCAAGTAAGTGCTACTTAGTTGTGCTGTTGTGCTACTCTATTTTGCTGTGAATGATGCTATATCAACTTACTCAGAAACATAAAAATAACAATAAGCTGGATGTGTTAATTAAGTGCCTTCTGATAGACAGGGGGATTCAGGTGAATAGCGATTAATATCCATAGCCTATCTATAAATCATACCCAAAGGAACATAATTCAGCCCGTGTATTGTAAACTACACCACTGAACCACACCACCGGGGTGTCATTTACAATATTTATTTGGTAATGACACCACTGTAATCAAGTTCTAACACAAAATTTATGCATTTATCGATTTCATTTCATCGCGACCATAATCATATCAAAAAGCTTTTTCCAGGAGTTTCCAGAACTTGCTTTAAATATAGACAAAGATACGGTGAACAAAAATGAATAGTTATTGTATAATTATTGGATGAAGATTTTTAAATTAATTTAGTTGTTTTTTATTGTAATGGATACAATTATTATATTTCACGAATCTTTGTGAACTCGACCAATTTCAACATTAGCATTAAAAATTAACACGTATCGAATTATTTTGTTCCATGTTATACATCACTAGTCAGCAATGGTGCGGTTCAGTGGTATCATTCACAATACTCGATTCAGCCCTCTACAATTACTCGTATGTACTTAATTTGCTATTGTAGCAAAAAGAACTGACAAATATGTAAGTAATATATTTACTTGCTAGCTCATCACGACAGACAAACAAAGAAACAAATCAATTATCTTCACATTTCAGTTCCACAAGAAAACCTTAGAGAATTCTAATTAAAAAACCCATTACCTACCACTTTATACAGAATCACACGGTAGTTATTGATATAATCAAACCACGTAGTCATCAAATGTAATTTCAGAAAAGTACAATAAAACACGAGACTATAATAAATATTTTTGTCGTGCACCGTATAATATTGGATGGTTTCAAAACCTCATGTGAACAACGATCACGTACGAATGAAATATCTAGTCACAATTCACAAATGTACTTCTAGAACTATCTAGCTGTCGGCTAAACTACAAAATACAGCACTCCTCTTCAAGATATAGATTACATTTAAGCTACATAAAAAACAAAAGAACTGATTCGTATCGTCAATTTGTGCTAGAAATGTACAATTATACTTTTCTCTGATTCGAATAGGAATAGTTGTTTATTAATAGGTACCCTAAAGGTAAATCTCTAATCGCTATTTTAAATCAACAACATGAATTACCTTTCACCGTAGATAAACATTACAGGCTTATCAAACCTATCTATTAATCTAAAACTGTAGTCCGAAGGTTATCCGTCATAACCAGCATCGCCAGGTAATCCACTCATTGTGTTCGCTAACTCTTTACAAATTGTGGAGTTCGTCAAATTTTGATTCTTCCTTTTTTATTTTTTCAATCTTTTATAAAGTCGTTTGTAATTTTTAAATTTAAATTTAATAAAAATAATTTCTAAAATTTGTATTACTTTGTATCTGGTATCTATTTATAGCGTTAATTAATAAGGCCTTGACATTGAGACACGATACATTTAGTACAATTTTTCGAATATACGAGTAGGTACATATAAATCATATAATATAGTCCATTATCAAAACAAGAATAGTATAATTTCATTTTGTATACATTTGCACTGAATGGATATCAAACCTGCTAACCCTGACCTGGCAGAGGAGTGCTCTACCGTCGCGCGAAGTAGTTCGTCATAATAAAATGACCCACTTCAATTTACTTCTAGAATCACGTGACACAACATCATAAACTACAAAAATATGAAGATATATTTTTAGGCGACAGTTCCCTAAATAACAGTTCGGTGCCGGAATAATCCACGGCAGTCACGGCCGAGGTTGCACGTGATTTACTTTTAACCACGCAATATATATCGGGATGTTGCTACTGGTTTAACTAGAAAACTTTGCGTGGCGCAAACGAGAACTGTCAACACCATACGTCGTACTCGTCAATAATTCACAGTTTATTTTGTTCTCAAATCACGTCTTATTTACAAGGGCATCGTTCAATGTTTGCCTATTAATGGATTCTATCTCTTTAAAACCCGGCAACCCGTCTTGGTTATCCTTTCCAATAAAGTCCTAGTTACATGAAGCAACTGGAAAATGTCGTAGTGTCACAGGCATCATTGATCTTAATGATACCGGGAACCGGATTTGTCTGTTACTTTTTACATGACTTTTATTTTATTAATAATCATGAAAAACTTAAATCGGTAAGGTTCTCAATTGAACTGTTCTTTTTGTTGTGTGCATGGTCCACGATATCTTAACAAATTGTGAACCGATCTGTACCAGCGGCAATCAATAGCCTATAAGAAACGATCACATCTTTACTGGTTAAACAATATGATTACAATTTCAACATTGTTATCGTTTCCAGTAAATATTTTTTAAATTCAAAATATTCAGGTTACATTTGCTCACTCTAATCGCTCTTCAAACAATTGGTGCCTCAAATCGCTAGCCACTTTAAAATGCAAAAACAATGATCATTAAGGTTCAACTCCTTCAAATTAATCACTATTTTAAGATTACATTTGCAAATCATTTTAAATGAACGGCTATAACTTAGTAATGAATCGATTATATTGCATCAATTTTCGATTGCGTCGCATATTGGAATCGTGGTAAAACCAATAATGTAGGGAATAGACAAGGAAAAATATTTTTTATATTATTTGTATTGTAATCGTTCGACTGTCCTCATTGTCAGGGTCAGAAGCGTGGTAATGACGTAACATTCAATGTTACATTTATTATACAATCCACTAAACGTAAAAAACTGCTCATTAGACAAATTTGCGAGTCTTGGTTACTCGTACACATAGAGCAAGGTCCGCCGGTGGCCTGTGTGAAACGTATTTTTTTTTTCAAACAAATAAATAAATTAAAATTTATCTGCACAATCAGAATAAAGTCATTGGAATCTTATATATTGGCATCTTTTATATAAGTTTGTTACTAAAGCTAACATAAAACTAGTATATGACTATTCTAAAACGTACAAGAGTGAATAAAAAAAAGGGATAAAACAAAATATTACAAATTCTTTTGCAAACGGCCTGAGCTAGGTGTGAGAGCTATGTCAGTTCAGGCAGTCGCTTGACTATGATATTAGTAACAGGACGTTAATATGTTAAAGTTCTAATAGATTAATAATGTACATTACTTGAGACAGGTTTGTATACACAAATATATATTACTTATTGTTTAATTACCTAATTATATCACTTTAACATTGCTAAGATGTTTTCTGTGTCTGCGTAATTAATCTTACCTAAATATTTTCCTACTAGAGTTTGACACTTTGTTTATCTTATGTTTCACAATGGATATTTGAGTAATATCAAATAAATTATGTTTAATTTACCACAGAAAAAAATTACCGTATAGAAAGTTGCGATGTCTCAAAGAGTAAAATAAGTTCATATTTTTAATAATAAGTTACTAGTTGATATTCCTACAGGCTAAATTAGCAGGGTCATCTTAAATTGCGTGATGCAAGAAATCGGTCGGCAAATTTAAATCGGTTTCAGTTTGTTTGAAGTTGTGTAGTTGCTATTCACCAGTTACTTCACGGTTAAAGCTGCCACAAGATATATGTTCCTCTGCCCTCTGTGGCTTATTTTATGAAATTAAATTATCTGAACGGATTCAGAAGCATCGTGACTTTAATGAGAAAGGACGGCAAGGATCCTTACACCACGTTTTATTCATTATGCAATAATTAGTTTTAAAATTGACTTAAGGATCAACTACGAGATATTTTTAGAAATCTTTCTTACCTGAAACTATACTAGTAGTAGTACTATATATATAGTCTATACTGTTTTCATAATTGATGGAAGTCTAAAAGTAATTCGAAACGGGTTGACCTTAGATTTTAATAGGGAATTACTGTGAACATCTACCTCCATCCGATACGTAGACAATACAGTACGGGTTAAGAATGATAGCAATGATAAAGACTATTATAATAGGTCTTTACCTATGAAATTGCCGTTTCAAAAAATCACCAGACCTTGCACCTACCGACTATTACTTTTTCCAAAATTTAGACAACTTTTTAGTGGGTAAAAAATTCAATTCCAGAGAGGCAGTACAAAATGCCTTTGAAGAGTTTGTTGCCTCCCGTGTCCAGCTGATTTTTACAAGAAGGGCATCAATAAACTGCCAATGCGTTGGCAAAGATGCGTCGATTGCATGGGTGATTACTTCGAATAACAGAAATAAAAAAGTTTTAAAAAATAAGTACTTTTACTTATTGCATACAAAACGGCAATTTCATAGGTAAAGACCTATTATTAATGTGGAGACTTTATTTATTAAAGAGAAATGTCCTGACAAATACTTTCTTTTGTCCACAGTGATTTAAAAATGCATATTGAAGTGCAAGTTGCTCTAAACTTCGTCATATCGTACCTGTACAACAAGCTACCGAGGCGGCGCGTAAATATCTTCGGTGAAGAACTCGAGAAGGCGCTCAAGGACAAGTTTCGGGGTCATTGGTACCCTGACAGGCCATGCAGAGGGTCTGCATTTCGCTGTCTGAAGACAGGAGGTCCTTTAGACCCCGTGCTGGAAAGAGCAGCGAGAGAATCTGGTGTACCCGTCCGAGATGTTCTTGAACACCTTCCGCGGGACCTCGCCGTTTGGGTAGATCCAGGTAAGAACAAACCCCTACATATTATTGTAGTAAAACATCTTGGGAGAGGAACAGAATAAGGAATAGAGCGTGGGAAATTAAATAAAACTTGTAAAGTTTACCACTGAAATACCGTGGGTAAATACGCTAGCTCTAGGGTTCACAAGTCTGTTATCAGTTTGTAAAGATAAATTCTATTTCTGATATTCTTTGATTCGTTGAAAGATTTTTAACATGTCTTAAAACTTAATTTTCGGAAACTATTCAGATACGTTTGACTCCATTTGCACTGTTTGCTTAAGATATAACGTCTCTACAAATTATCTATATAGAGCAAATGTTATCGTCACTTGCTGACTTTCTCAGTGCAACTGAGATAAAATTACCTTATTTTCCCATTATACCTCTAATAACATTGTCATGGTACTAACTGATTTATTTGCACAAGTCGTTTACGATAATAATAACAGATTAAATACTTAGCTAGCTTTGTAATCGTAAGAATAGCATGGAATTAAATCGACACGCAATTTCAATTGCATTTATTTTAAATTAAGGTTATCATGATTTCTCATCTATCTTGTAAAACTATGTAAATACTTTGCTAAAAGCTTGGGTCGAAAACAAATGTTCCGAGTACAATAACAAATTGTGATTGTGCTTCACACTAGGCAGTTGCAACTGGACCGTAATCTGTATACTGAACTAGATACAAACTGTCAGCTCTTGTTATTCCTGGTCGTTGTTCAGTAACAAATTGATCTTAAGGACCGTGTTACTGCGCAACTTTTAACGACCAACTCAGTTTGCCACAAAACAGTTTGCTGTGCTCTATAGAATGAAATATGATGAACTTTAGTTTAGTTTAGAGAGTTTTCGAACAACAGAATTAGCACCAATATCTATCTGATCTTAAACGCAGGTAGTTATTTCCTTTAGATGTACATAAATGTTTCGTAATATTTCTACATTTACTCAAATATGAAATTAAAGTCCTGTGATGGCTCGTGTCTATTGTGTTAAGACATGCGTTCTCAAGGTGAATCAAAGTGTTACTAATATCGTATATTGATTGATATATGCGACTCTAGAGCCAGAGAGAACCAAAGCCAATCGATAATCATTTCAAAATGCATAGGTCATCTCATAATACAGATAAAAAGTTAATTTAACTCACGTATCAATTTTATCAAATAACGAACTCTGAATCGTACCGATAGACGAATCGACAAATCAAATCAAATTGTGATTTTTTCGTGTTTCAGGCGAAGTGTCGTATCGCATCGGTGAAAAGGGCGCAGTGAAGGTGCTCTTTAGCAGCGACGAGCGAGCTGCTGATGAGAGGACCGACAGAGAGGTGAGTAACTATTTAGTTTGTATAGAAGTAGGTCACACCAATATATACCATACCATAATAATTCTATTTCAACCTGATTATGATAAAAGTGGGCAAACTAGAAATCAAATCAATTAATTACTTCTGAAGACAACTGCCGTATTAATTAATGTTGTCTGGCTATGCGTTTTGGCAGTAAATATAGTAGCCAGGTGGCGCAACCCAGTTATCACTGATAAATAATACGCTTCAACGTCACACAATACTGTAAGTATTTATAGCGTCAATCAATAATTATTAATGATGTTTCAGGTAACAAGAGCGTTCAACCCCGAAGCACAGTGCTTCCGGCCGGTAGAGCCGGCGGCAGCACCTTCGCCCCCCGCGCCTGCTGCTTTCTCGCCAGCACCACCGTTCCGCGCACAACCTCTCACTTTCACGACGGCGACCTTCGCACAGACCAAGTTCGGCAGTACCAAGCTCAAGACGAGCAGCAAACGCGCGAATCGCATGTCACCCACCGAGTTCAGCAACTACATCAAGCAACGCGCGATGCAACAGCAGATGGCTTCGCGTGCGCTGTCGCCTGCTTCGGACCCGGCCTCGTACTTCGTGGCGCGGCGCGACCCTGCCCCCTCCTCTGCGCCCCCTTACCCGCCGGCGCCGGCGCACCTGCTGCTCGCCAACTGAGCCGCGCACGCGCGCTAGCCGCACCGCGCAACCCGCTCATAGAGTCTTTACTTTTTTACGAGAGAGACGCGCGCCGCGATTTATTTTTTTATTTTCCGCGGGGGCGTCCCGCGCCGCCCGCCGCTTGTGATATCCGTACGATTTTCCATAACTTTTTGTATTCTCGTTCGTTACGTCGATGTGTAAATTTATCGATAGGAGCAATAATCTGCCGCGCGACTCGCCGGCGATTTATTTTCGTAATATTTAATGCTGAGTCAAGTTTTTGATGTCTTCGTTCGATATCGATATATTCGTAGGGTGTAAGAGAGCGAATGGCCGAATGGCCACGTGCGCTTACGACGACGTACCTTCTAGAGCGAGCCTGTATACATACGTCCTCCGATCTAAGAAAATACTAATATTTAAATATGTATACATAATATATATTCGTACGCGATAATCGTCTAATTTTTCATGTGGAAATGATGGCCAATAGAGAAATTACGTATTTTTAATATTGAAATTGATAATTCATACTTACTATTATAGTGTACTGGTACCTATGTATTGTACTCGTATGTTGTAATAAATGTTTGCATATCCGGTCGGACGTGGTCGGACGGCGGCGGGCCGCCCGAAGGCGTCGGAGATCTCACATAGTGTAATCATCACTCGTACGATTGTACCCTTATAATAATAATTATTATAATATACATAATAATATATTATAGGTTTAGCTACGTTTCAATCTAACAGTATTTTTTTAAGAAGATATTAGTCCTTGTGTACATTACCTTAGTGTGTATGGTATACTTATATTGTTAAAAAGACATGAATATGAATAAATGATAGAAAAAATATTTCTCAATTCATAATGATAACGGGTGCATGCAAATTCATAAAATAAATACTATGTGTTATTTATCTTTTTTATATTTCACTTGGCGGTCGGTACAGTTTTTCAATGGAATCAGTGGTAGAGTAGGACGTACGTATGTAGTGTAGTGTAGGTGCGAGCAGTATGCATGCATGCATGCGGGGGCCGCTGCTATGCGTGCCCGGGTTCCATGCACAACACTGACAACGTTGTACCTAAACTGAATGTACAACATTTTTTTACTATTTTTATATTTTGATTTAGAATTAAGCCTAGTTGTATGATTTGAACTTTAAAATGTACTTTATTAATACCCTATGATTAAATTATTACGTAATATGTAATAATGGCAGTGATTGTCGATTGAGAAACTGACCGAATAGCTACAGTATTTTGTAGATAAAATCTATAATGTAAGTTTAATAATAATACAACTAGCGTAATGAGATTTTTTATTACAAAGATACTTTTTATTTTTCTTTCTTTTGTAAGATATATTCGATGGAAGTGTTAAAGATAATATAATATTTGCATAATAATATAGCAAATGCGGCTCTCCATGTCCGCTAATATAATTAGTCAATAATAATTTTTCATATTGTTGTACGACTTTTTAAGTTTATATTAAAATGTTTTGTGCAATCTATACTGAGTATCATTCCACCCAAACCTGTGTACCTCAAAACAACATTATAATCTTTGGTTTCTAACCCCAGCACACTTAACATGTGATACATACAATACACATTATTCAAAAGGTAATTAAATTAAAGACAACAATTGTAATCATTAAGTCACTTTATTATCAAACCACAAAGATGACAAAAGTGAACCTCATCTATGGACAATTATATTTCACAAATCGAGACGCCATCAATACAAAATATTTCTGAGCACTAACATTTCTATAAATAAAAATAACTTTTAGGGCTAAAGTTATTAAGGTTTCGCATTTTGCATATTACACGGTTAATCTGAAGTTAAACACATTTATTTAATCTTGTGAGCAAACATTAATTGCCTGATTGTAGCACAGACTTGCTGTTTAGTCGATCAAATTATATTGTAGTTATAAAAAATGTTCTCAAACTTATGAAATACGAGTCTTATTGTAACAATATGTGCAACAGCACGGGCACTCTTGATACAAAAACTTGTCATCGTTTAGATAAAGAACATTTATAATATTTATTTAGCTAATATTTATGATCCGAGATTCTTGCTTCCTTAGAGAAGATATGTCCCCGTTGCCAATCTGTGCTAAACTCCCAACATAATGCTACCATTTCATCGACTTGATAGCTTCGTAAATGAAAGTAAGTTCGCACGCAAATTAAAAACACTTATTATATTATTTGTGGGCAACGAAATGTATTTCTATATGATGTTTCGTACATGCTTAGTGTTCTTTCAACGAATCCCTGAAAGATCCTGTTCACATTGTATATTGTTAGGTATCTATTATACCATTACAATTTATATTAAGGTATTTTTAAGACCAATTGACATCGAACTTATTTATATTCAACCTTAGGATTATTTCATTTCAGTTAAAAAGAAATCATGTAGAAATTAGTTTCTTTTATATATAATGGCGCCTCAATACTGATATTGACCATAATAATAATTAATTATTTTACTTATAAACGTGAACTGTGTTCAGTGACAACCGCACACAATCCCACATTAAGAATATACAATCATTCATATTCATAATTTGTACATTTAACTCTTAACAGAATTCAAACTTTAAAACAGGCTGTTTACGCTGTTTTAGATAGAAAGGTAACAAATATTGCTTGTAAGTTCGCATCACTAAACACTAATAGGTTTGGATCCTTATGAATTGTAATATTTAGTATTTATATCATTTAGCAGTTTTATACAGTGTATTCAATTTAAGAATATGTACATTTAACTTTATTATACAGGAACATATAATGCCTACATGCAATGATGATCTAAATTCAATTACTACGGTTCTGCCGTGCTGATAAAAAGACTCTTTTCGACATTAACTCTTCTGAAACTAGCTTTTTTTAAGCCCGGCAGAGTAACAGGTTAGAGTTAAAAACTCACGGTATGTTTGGCAGCTGAGAAACGGATTATATTTGTAAAAGTATAAAGATTTAACAGTATCCAAAATCTTAGAATATATAATCTTAATAGTATATTTAACATACAATATTTCCAGATTTATAGGCCTTTATATCTATTACCTTTACAAAATTTCCTTAGTACGTACCATAGATGAGGAGATGTGCCCTAAGTGGTTTACATAGAATATTTATTTAAAAATACTAAAAATAATCAGTACATTTTAGTGAAACACAAATGACCTTACCATTTTTATACCAAATCAATAACTCATTGAATCCCAAATTACAATAGAATAACCGCTAAGTATTTACAATACAAACTAAACTAAAATAACACGACATTTAATGAATATTGCCTATGACCATAACATTCGTCGATTTAAAAATAAAATCATATTTTTAAAATGATACTTAGAATTTAATTGGTTATGACTGATTTTGACTATGTTTCACAATTTTGGCCCGTGATTCCAATATTCAAAAATAGAAGAGTTTGCTATTAATATTTACTTACTTAATTATCATAATTCATTTAGTAAATCATGATACGCACTTACACTTCTAAAGAAAATATCCAAGGTGAGTCCACATTAACCATTACATCAAATTGAATTTGTAACAGTCTTCGTATCACATTGGAAAAAAAAGAATAAATAACACATTTCGTGAGCAAAGGCTTACCGACATAAACAATAATAAAATAAAATAAAATCTTGATTCTCAGCGAAATCAAAAGTCGAGGAATGACGACAAAATGTTGAAATAATACAATTTTTGACACACACAGTCTACAGTGAATATGTACAGTATAAAGCCAATGACACCAGCACTGTGACAGAAATAAGTAAGTAATAAAGTAAGTTACCAGTGCAATCTGCTTTCATACTTTAAGTTAAATAATTGTTAATCGCTTCAGGCGATGATCAGTGGGCCATTTCAATGTGCCGTTGCAAACTCTTTTTGTTCATGTAGAACCTGTCACACATGGCACAAGGAAAGAATACCTTGTCGTTGTCTGCATGTCTAGCTCGTGTATGGGATGAGAGGTCCAATGCTCTTGCAAAGTATACTTTGCATATGTTACAGAAGAATTTAGTGGGAGTAGAGTGCATTGTGCGATGAGCGATGAGATCTCGCGGTGTAGCTACACCATCTCCACATTGCCCGCAAGTGAACTCACCCGGGGGGGGAATGGGCACGTGGCCATCGTCACCATCATCGTCATCGTCTTCTTCAGATTCTTCACCATGATGCCTGACTCGATGTGCTCTCAGCGATTCTTCATCGTCGTATTGGGCTCCACATAAGTCACACGTGTGCAACTCCTCCTCAACTTGTCCAACCATACTTGAACTTCCTTCACCACTCTCATAGTGCTTCTTCATATGAATAAGTAACGTAGACTTTCTTGTAAAACTCTTATCACACACTGGACAAAATACTGAATTCGGTTGATGGACCTCATCCATATGGCGCTGATAAGCTGCGCGTTTAGTAAACTCCTTGTCGCAAATGTTGCAATATCTATCTTCAGCTGAACTAGAATTTTGTTGTTCTAATTCAACAGAATCATCAGACCGCATTTTTTTATTTGGATTGACAACAGTAACTTCGACCTCAGGTGGGAGTCTTCTTTTAGCGGCAACTGCAGCTGCTGGGCTGGAATGCGTAACTTTGGCAAGTTGTACTGGATCGATGACTTCATGTTTACTTATTTTACTTGTGACTTTGTGCTGAGGCATCCAAAGTCCACTATTATTAGCAGCTGCTTTCCCATCCGGTGATCGTAAGTGCCATCCACGGTGGCTCTTTAGAGCTGATATTGACGTGTAGCTTTTGTGACAAATCTCACAGTCAAATGTTTGTGGTTGAGGTGGAGCTTGATTAATACACTGATGGTTCTGCAAAGCTAACAAACCTACGAATTGTTTGCCACACGTGTCACAAGGATATCGAGCCTGATAATCAACGCTAGGATCCACTGATTCTTGATCATTCTCATAATCAGGTTCCAATTCTTGTGCTACTTCAAGAGATTTACTCGAACCTTGATTGGCGTTGTAACCTAAAAGTTCTCTAGCGTGAGCAGCCTTCAAATGTTCATAAAGTTCTAAAGTCGAGTTAAGGGGTTTTCCACATATTTTACACATTTGAACAGTGGATTTGTGAACGTTTTTTCGATGGCGATAATAAGATTTCTTATCTGAAAATGTAATTCTACATATTGTGCAACTCGATCTACTGCTTCCTTCCCCACTAGCCGACGGCGTTTGTGAATCGTTGCCGCCACTAGAATTTGGATTAATAATACCATGTTTAGCACGTTTATGTTTCCATAAACTGGTTCTAAGCGGAAATCGTTTGAGACATAATTCACACGAATAAGGCATTGTATCTTGTTGTGTTTGTTGGACATTATTCGCGAAATTGCCAAAATTAAAACTATCAAACTGCGGCGTCGAGAGAATAGCGCCGTTTTCATCTGGATTGAACTCGTCCTCTTCAGTGGACGCTTGCATAGTATTCTCCTCACTGTCGTTTCTTTCGTTCAATATATCCGCATGTAAAACTTTCTTGTGTTTCCATATGTTCTTTTTATGCATGAATCCTTTCCCACATATGTCGCAGGAATAAGGAGCATTAGGAATATTGTAATGAGGCTTAAACGAGACAAAACCAGGTTGGACCATAGGGTATACTTGTTTGATCGGTTTGCCTATAATTGAGGGCGAAAATCCCTTATTAGAAGAAGTATCTCCTGGTTTTCTGTTAGTCGTGGGCACTTTTGCATGTATACGCATATGGTTTGAATATGCTTGACGACTTTTAAATGACCTTATACAGATATCACAAAAGAATTCTGAATCTGCTGCAGCAATTGCACCAATTCCTGGATGGGCTTGTTGCACATGTTCTGAAAGTTTTTGAGGGGTACTATAAGAGTTGGCGCAAACGCTGCAAGGGTAAAACTTAACCCTCAAATGTGTGTTCTTGTGTTCTGCTAGCTCAGAGGGACGCAAGAATTTCTTGTCGCACTGGTCACAGTGATGAGCGACTTGGTTGTGTTCGGCAACCTGGTGATCAGTCCACGCATCGACAGTTTCAAATATGGCGTTACACTCAGTGCAGGAATAGTGATACTCTTCAGCCTCTTCCTTCACAATGGACATGTCCGGCTCATTGTTTTGTTGCATACCTAAAGTTCTGTCAGAATGTTCCATGTAAATGTGTTTGTTGAGATCAGCAGCTTGTTCAAACTTAGAGTCGCAGTGCTGACAGTAGTGAGGCGTTTCCTCGTTGTGAATAATTTTCAAATGTTTTACTAAATTCGGATAGCTGCTATTTTTCTTGCCACATAATGGACAGTCAGTAGGTCGACCGTCGACGCATTTGCTTTGGCTATCTGATTCGAAACTACCGGCATGAACGGCTAATGCGTGATCATTAAAACTCTGCATATTACCGAACGTTTCTGGGCATAAGTCACATGCTACATAAACTGTGCAATCACCTTTACGAATATGTTTTTTAAGCAAGCTCTTGTCCTTAAACCTTGCTCTACAATGCACACATCCGAGAGGCACTCTCGATTGTCCATCTTCATGAGCATCCAAAACATGTTTCATTATAAATTGTTTTAACTGGAATTTTGCTGGACATAGTTTACAAGCATACGATCTAGCATTAAAAATATCTTTATACTGGACTTTGACCTCCTTAGGTTCATCCTCCAGAACCAAGTCATCAGTAATACCATTTTCGTTGTATATAATCTTCCACAAATCAGTACAAGAATTCGACCTCATGTGGCTGAGCAGAGCACCAATATGCCCAAATGTAACAACGCAATTGTAGCATGTGTGTTTTGGTACTTTGTGACCATTCTTCTGCAAGTGCTGTATAACCGCTTTTCGGCGCGGATGTTCTCTGTCACAACATAAACAGCGTTTTGTATTGATTTGCTCAATAACGTCACGATACTTTAAAATGAAGTCTCTTTGCGTTTTTGTTACGTATGTTTTATCAGGATCGAGTTCTTTGACTTCCTCCTCGTCTACAGTCTCATTAGGATCAACGGTCTCGTTAGGATAAACGCTCTCGTCAAGGTCATCACCATCAGCTACATCGGTATTAAACGAATTAGCCTGCAAGTCTTCATTAATTTCGACTACTGGCTGTATTGTCATTGGCAAATCTTCGTCGTCTTCATCTTCGTTTCCATCGTGATTCATTTCTATTTCTTCATGTTCCCTATCTTCTTGCAATTGCTCACCGTCCTTCAATTCATGTTCAGTTTTCGTTTCTAAACCATCCTCCATGTCATTCTCTTGACTTTCTGCTGTATCGTCTCCTTCTTGATCGTTCTCACTCTGACCACCTTCCATGTTATCATCCTGATCCATGTTTTCGTCACCATCAGCCTGTTCTTCGCCATCTATCTCGTCACCTTGTTGACGCGCGATCTCAATTTCATTTTCAGAATTCATATCAACCGTATCATAATTCTGACCTTGATTATTATGCATGTCTCCATCAACTTCCTCGTCACCCTGTTGGTGGTCGTAGCCGTCGGCGTCGGGTTCCGAAAGTATTGCTTCTACTTGGAACGAAGCTATTTCAGGTTCAGATATCAGTGTCTCTGGACTTTCGGGTCCAGAATTTATTATTTCGGGTTCAGAAACCAGAACTTCAGGTTTAGAAGTTAACAGAGTCTTTAAAATTTGTGGTTCCTTTTTCTTAATCTGTAAATCTTTCAGTGCTTTAATACGAAGTGGATAAGGCAAATTGTTTTGAGACGCTTTAACTGATTTAATTGGTATAGGTTTTTGAGGTGTGATAACTTTATTTATAGGTACTACTTTCGTTGGGATGTTTTTGGGCATAAATTGCATCTTATGACTAATAGGATTCGGCATTAAACGCGCTTTAGGGTTAAATGGATTAGGTCTTAGTTTGGGTTGCAAATGACCAAGTGTTTTCTTTGGAGTTATTTTGTTAGTATACCTGTCAAAGCTATGAGCAGTAAGCTCATGCCGACGAGCATTGTGGGAATATCTATAAGTACGGCCACAGACAAGACAGTCCTTAGAAGCTAATTGATGTATACCTTGGCGTGCATGCAAGGTCTCGCCCGTAGGACGCATTACTGTTATGGACACTTCCGGCATGTGGGGCATTTTGGGGAATGGTTGAGCAGGTTCATTCAATTCTTCATCGTCTTCCTCTTCTTCTTTCTCACTTTCCACTCCCTGTAATTTATAACAAAAAGCATATTGTATAATTTTTTTTAAGGTATTATATAAAATCATTAACACACTTAAAATAAAAACCCCGCTATAAACTCACGATTGTCACCATGGGATTGAGTGATTCATGAGGACAATTAAATATGGAAGGAAGTAGGAAAAATCATGCTAATTGTCACTATGTCTGCAAAATGTCTATATTCTGAAATGAAATTCTTTTCGCTCGAGTTTTCTGGACAATTATGTTACGTATCTCTATTTTATTTAATTAGACGATCGTCGAATTTCATTTAGAATAGAATTGACCATGTGATATGATGAAACATTTAGATTAGTAGTTTAATTCGTATAAGTTTTTTACACTTTATTCAATTGAGCAGATGTTAGGTAATAAATATAATATACCAATGTTTAATATTAATAATAATAACGTAAGAAAATTTTGACTAATAACATTAAAGATTTAGTGTGACACTCCAAATAGTAACACATGAGAGAATCCTCGTCAGTGCAATAATTTAAATAAATAATCATCATAAATGTACACTAGTGTCATAGAACTGTACAAAAAAGATTTTATAAACCTGAAAGTATTAACTGAACTGAAAATACCAAAATAAAAACTGAATTATTTATTTACTGCCTATATTCTATTGTTATAACAATCCACATTAATTCTATTTCGATGACGAGTACAAGGTATAGTACGATTTTATACAGATTACAACCTTTCTCAATAAACATGCTATCTGACACAAAACTTAAAAAAAGATCAAATTATAGGATTATTATAGGAAACAAAAATGCTAACATTTGCATTACTAACATGTAACTTATTGACCGTAACTGTGTGGTAATGGATGAAGAATATGGAGTGTCACCACCCCTATTCATCCCGTGGGTGTCATAAGAGCCGACTAAAGGGGCAAACTGCATAGGACAGCAGCACTGTAAAGAGAAGGAAAAATTGAAACAACCCCTATACCAATCCATCTAATATAACCCATCGATAACTACTTAAGTACTCCTGTTTTATAAGAATTTCTAACTATACAATATTTTATAATTAACAAAGAACCTTTCAAATAATTATATAGTACTTTTTCTTTTAACACAATTTACGAAATATGTAATAAGAAAATAACCAGTGCCATAAGTATGATATGTTGTAAACCTAATTAGACTTACAAATTCCTTTCATACACATTTAACTTGCACACATAGTACAAATATTGACCGAATGTTCTTTACAGATAGGTTGACCACATTTCACACAAAACTGTTTCGTTCTACGGTCCCGCTTAGTTGTCTTTACACATATTTTACACCGTCTCCTGTTCTTATAATATGGATGTACCATTTCTTGCAACAAAGATAAATTCTGTTCTCTTTCACATTCGTCGTTTAATTTGAGTGTAGATATTTGTGGTCTCTTTTCAGGTACCATTAAGCTTAAGGCCAAATCCTTTATGAAAGTGCGACGTTGTGCAACATTTGTATTTTGAGAGCTCCATAACACCTGAGCATTGACAGAAGCAATATTTAATAACGTAAAGAATAATGATAGAGTCCAATCGTTGGTATGTTGCATAGTTGTATAGTAATTCATAACAACATCAACCACTTCTACAGCTGATTGATTCTTCTTATACACAGACACAACTGTAGTTTGGTTCACATGACCTTTTCTGTAAAATCTAGGCTCATTAGTTATTATATTTATTGCTTTTAAATCAGAATTCACGTAAGATGTAATTGAAACATCATGATCAATAAATCCAGACATAAATGTTCTACATTTTCTATACTGAGAAAGGAACAAGGGTGGAATCCAGTCATTGGTTGGATTTAATGCTGCTATAGTAAATAGTTGGTACTCATTCCTAAGCCGTTCCATTAATTTTAAGGAAGTATACCAGCTATCCATAACAATAGTTATTCCAGTACCAGCTAAATGCTGAACTACCTTTTTAGTAATCTCTTCAGAACCAAAGTATGGGTCAGTAATGACATCTAAATTGCTTATGTAGAATGTTGATGAGTCTACAAGCAATATCATCTTTATTCCGCACTTTAGTGGTTTCTTATCAATATCATATCGAAATGGACAAGGTCCATAAACTGGAACGATGATCTCATCAATAACCACAATATTCCCAATCTCATGAGCTGTTCTGCAATTCATGGCAAAGATTTCAAATACCTTACGCATACGTTTCATTATATCAAACTGTATAATAGTGTCACCGTCCTGTTGATCAAAACTTAGGTTTTGTAAAAGAAATTTAAACCGGTCATATTTCATGGAATTTCTAACGCAAGGTACACCAAATTCACCACGCCAAAGGTCAATACATTTTTCATGCGTCGGCCGCATTATTCCATGCAAATACAAAATGCCAATAAGTGTTTTTATTTCGCTGACATTGGTTGCAATGGAGTCACTTTTTCCATTCTTGACGATATATTCATTAGTGGAGTTGACTATCAACTCAAGTAGGTCATCAGTGAATAATAATTGCCAAGCATTTTTAGGACGCAGGCAGTGCTGTTTGGGATAATCTAATTTTCGTTTCCTGAGTTGCTGAGCTTCTCTAATTTTAATGTTATTCATAGATGGTGACAGTTTAGGATTCTTTGATATAACCTTATTATTTCTACAGACATAGCCATTTTTGCAATCTACATAGTTATCTTCAATTTCTGGTTGAAGTTCAGCCTCTGTGTCAGAGTCATGATCAGAGTGTTGCAAAACGTCACACTCTTCCTTTGATTGTAGTGAGTCAATCACCTCATTGTCTTGAACCATGTCCAAGATAGCACAGACTCGGTGCCAATCCATTCGAGGATCCACACACTTCTGTGGATAAAATTAATTTCATTGAACTATTCTCACAGATTTATTCTGCACACATTAATGCAGGCACTAGACATTTAATGTGTTATTATTTCATTTTACATATAAAAGAAACATGAAATATTGACATATAAAAGAATTTGGAGTGTCATACTAAATGCAAAACAAGTGCTTAGTACATAAAATGATAAATAAATTAAACATGTCATGTCACCTTATCACTCCGAGGTGTGAGCCCCAATGAAGCCAAGATTGGTGGACCTTCAGGTTGAACTTTATTTGCCACGCTGGCATTCTGGAATGTTTAAAATAATATGTTTACTACGGAAACTGTTAAAAATAATTTAAAAAAAAAAGTTGCAAGTTATATGTATTTATTCTATTCAGATTTATTTCAAATATTGAAGTAGGATATTTGTGATAAGTGATTCTAATTATGAGCTTAGTATATCTGAAAGTCAATAAAATACATAGGAAACCATATAAAAAAAAACAGGAGCTTTATTTAACTGGCTTGTTATCAATTCACACAGGTTCACATGTCCTTGACACCAAAAAACTAGCATTACATTGACCAAAGTTATAATAATTATAAACAGTATAAGTATTAACAGGTAACAGCATTTACTACACAAATAGCAGTTTCAGAGTCATACATACCTCACTATCAGGATATGAACCCTCAATAACAACTCCATCATCATAAGCTTCATCAGACAAAGGTTCACTCTTAATTTGAACCTGAAAATGCATATTTCCACAGGTAAACAATAGATACTATACACAAAATGTAGTATGACAATTCCAAGCTTAAACATCCAGAAAGATAAACCCACCTCTTCTAGTTGGCTGCCATCTTTACTAATCAAAGACTGTAGTTTGTTTTGAGTCCTTTCACAAATATTTTTAAACTTATGCCAATTATTGACATTGTCCATGCATTTTCTACAGACATTTGTGGGCAGCTCATCATTTTCGTTTATCTGAAAAAACAATCATACGTAATCATTGCACGATGGGCAAATAGGCGCTCTCCACGACGCAGTCGTTTCATCAGAACGAGCGAGGCGAAACCGCGCCTCGTGTATAGATAGATACGCAAGGAGAAACTAAGTAGGTAGGCGTAGGTATAGCCGAACGGCGGCGAGCGGCTGCTCCTCGACCGAATAAGTAGAAGCGAGTCGAGTGGCAGCCAGCGAGCCCCTCGAGGGTTAGCGCTCGATATACGCACACACGTATAGCGCACTCACGCCGACATCGACGCTCGACCCGTCCGTTTGAGAGACGAGCTGCAGGCTGGTCTCGTCCGATAAATCAATACGGCCGATGTCCAACGCGGCTCATACCTAACGATACGTAGCCCCCCTCCCAACCTGACCCCCGGGAATAATGCCAACCCGACCCTCATGATACGCGCCATTCCTCGCCGGCTGCACGGAATGCGACGCGACGCGGCCACGAGCCGAGCGATAGCCGTGGAACATTACAAAATGGTGGACGATCTTACGACATCTCCACCTAGGCGCGCTGCCTGTCATTGCTCGATACGAAGCGGATGACGAGTTCTCACGTATGCCAAGGGTCTACTTTCACTCAAAACTTCTTTATATCACTTATTTTTCATGTTACATACCTCTACAGACACGCAATCCTTGATTTTTGAAGCGAGGACGGGAGGTTCCGAGTCATCCGAACTGGTGGTAGGAAAAATCGGCAGTAATTCGCCTCGAGATGACAAGCACAGTCTACAAACACGATCATAGTTCACATTCATTGTAAATAAACGATATTCAGAATGTATTAAACACCTTCCACAATCTTTAAAAAAAGGACGCCATGTCACCACGAGAACTTCAACACAAAGCACTGCACATCGTTCTTGCTAGAGCACGAAAGCGGCTGATGATGAGGATGAGAAGTCGATAGGTTCGGTCGAGACGGCTGGTTCGAGTCGGCGACCACCTGTCGTTCTGCGCATGTGCGCGTAAAATATCGTCGGGGTGGCCAACATGAGAAACAGAAATTGTAGTTTATGTCAGATGCACTAAACCTTTTTGCTTATCATTTGTTGTGATTTTTTTTTAACAAACCGTAATCCAAGAATTTAATTTGGTAAATATTTCTCAAAAATTCTCTCTTTCCCTCTCAAAAATTACAAAAATTAACTTATTATTAAAATATATTTAATATCAATTATAAATTTTTAGCATTAAAGACGTATTATGTCAAAACTTATGTGCTTGCCAAAAATACAATAAATTTGAAAAGTTTAAACCCTATTATATCAAGAGAAATGTTTTGAAACTATGCAAATACTCAATAAAATTAATTAAAGCAAATCATAAAATACACTATATAGACATACTAGTAAAATAAATTTAAGTAGGTGCTCCAATCAGCTTTGTTGTTGAACTAAATTAATTAGAATATTTCTGAAGAACGGAATTTTTTGTAAACCTCATCGTACATTTTCCAAATAAAATACTAATTAAAACAAAAATAAAATTCAAAAAACCTTAATTTGCTCCAAAAAGGCAGCAGATTTACTTAAGTGTAAAACATACGCTGAATAAGTTGACAAGTATGAGTTGGCAAGTTACCTTTTCTGCCTGATATGTTGAATGTTTGGATTAAAATATAAGTAAAAAACTAAAAAGTTTGCTATTGTGGACTCCCTAATTTAGATGATATCACATAAACAAATTTAAATGTAATACTAATTTAATGCTCTTTTGAGTTTCTTAAATGTTCATAACCCCTGAACGTTATAACAAAAGTATTTTCATCTCTTTCTAACCCGTGCGCTCATGGCGGCATATTTGAACTTCGGTTAAGTTCGTCCTACATTCGGAGTGGCGGGAGATTACGAAACTCTTCAAAGTATTTGTTTGCTTTAGTTTTAGTGCTAGTAATATTATGACTACATATTTGGTCTATTTTAAATAAATCCGAATCAAGTTTAAAAATCACGTGTGATTTTTCATAATTCCTTTGTTAATTTTGACAATCGTTATGAACAAGTTTCGAATAGTGGTAAAAAAGGTAGTGCCAACTTTACGCTCGACTATTAAACAAACAAAATAGAAAGACAAAATAATTAGTTCACTGTTTGTATCATTCATGTTTAGGTGGGGAAGAAAAAAGATTGAATGAAAACGTAAATGGTATTGGTCAAAATCTTCAAACGTATTACATAAATTATATATAAATAATATTACTAATGTTTTAATTGCTTTAAAATTTTTGGATGTAACAATTAACAGACGTGTATCAGAAGAAAAAATAGTTTTAGAAAGATAAGACCAGCATCAGTTTTTAAACCGATCCGTCTGATGTTAAAAGTTAAACGATGCCACTTTTAATGTAATGATCTTACACAATATATAAAAGGCACCTCTGACCACCCTTCTCTCCAATTCAAATAAAATTATGTTTAAGCACTGAGTAGGTAATGTGTAAGGAATATAAAGATACATTATTATACCTTAGCAGCCATATTTGTCCAGACCCAATAACTCGTTATCCTTAACATGCATTCTTACCTGGCCTTCTTCATCTAGTTTGGGTTCTTAATTCTTAGATCTGCAGCTAACAAAGGTACTTAACACTAACCTAAACTATGCAGGTAAATAACACGAGAATTCATGATTTTAGGTAGGTAGGTAAAAAATTTCGATTGGGTATCAAGTTGGAATATGGTGCCAGAAATACCTACATGCTTATTGAACGGTATCACGTATATAAATCAATGCAATGTCATTTAAGCCATATAGAGTGGTAGGTAGGTACCTATTTTGACATTTCCCATGTTAATTAAAACCTATACTTCTCTTACGCTTAGAATACTAAAATTTGGAGAAAAGCAGTCTCGTAATACAAATTAGGTAGGTACCTACTGATAAAAAAACCAAAAACGTTAAAATTGTTGTTACGTATATCACATAAAAACGTTTTTCTTTCTCTTAGGTACAAACAAAGGTAAGTATATAAATGTATGTTTTATCTGTGTTACCTTTCATATTTTTGAAGTGGCAAAGTTAGGAAAAAGAACTAGGAAAAAATCTAAGTAAAAGTTTGTACCAAAATCATTCTTGTGCAGATTGCTTTAACAATATGAGTATAGATACCTCAGGTCAAACACTATCATGATCGAGAAGAAGTGTTGGCCAGACGACTTCTTAATTTCAGGCATTTGACTTATTACATGTGTATTACTATTATTTGTAACGTAGTACTTTTGATATTCATTTGAGATACTGCCTGTTAACTCAAGCTCTCACATCTCCAACTCAAAAAGTAAAGTCTACATAAATGTTACTTTTGTTTCTTTGTTATAATTTGTCCAGTCTGCGTTGTGAATTTACGGGTAAAATAAATGCAAAACGTGGTATGATCAGACCTGGGGGCCCTGTGGCCAAATATTCTCAATCTCATGACAGTCTATTATTTTACTCAGTTCACAACTGTCTCTTTCACTCGTGTTGCTAAGTATACTATCTATCTGCTACTCACTTTCAGAGTTTCCAACCTAGTGGATTTTCCACTAAAACTGGTGGTTTCGACCCAGTTTGGTATCAGTGGCAAAATTTTGCTTTTAGTGGCTAGTGAATTTTTTTGTAGTTTGGTAGAAATAGTCAGATTGAGTTTAAAATGCAAGGAAGGATAGCGATTAGATAGAAATGTTCAGGAAGAGAAGGATTATTAATTTTAGGCAATGGGACTATGTATGCTTTGTGCCGAGAGAAGAAAATGTTTCGGAGTCGAGAAAGAAGTCAATAATGTCGGCTATAACTTCGAGGACGTAATCCAGGATCTTTATTATTATTCCTACGGCTCGCCCGAGGTACGTCGAGGTATAAGGGATTTCCTTTCTAGGGTACACCTGGTTCTCCGGCTACTGGTACCCACAACGGCGTGAGCTTTTTGGTCAGCTCGGGCCCGATATTACCACCCCACCGGTAGGTGGTATTCAAAGGGGTTTACGTACAGAAAAAATAAATAAAAAAGTAGGCAAGGGATTTCGACATTTAGGAGTTAGCGACCCTTGGTATTACTCTCTTAATACTCCTTCATTTCGATGCCGATGTTGAGTTGTAAGACTATAGGTCTAAAACAGAGGAATAGAATAAAGTTAAATCTTTTATCTGCTATGTTAAGAATACGATGTGGTTTGAAGTACTTAGGAAGGAGAATGCTGCGACACATATAAAATTCCAAAAAATGTTGTAAAACAAATCGGTACCAAAGGTTCGTTTTAATATGAAACCGACGATAATGGTGCTGACAAAAATGATTTGTACTAGTGTGAAATTTTAAAAAAAGAAGCTAGTTTTGAATATACTTATGATTTAGTTTCGTATTTACAAAAAAAAATGGTTAGTGGAATATCTAGTGCCTATTAGAGAAGGGTCGTTAGTTGTTAGTAGTTTTCTGGTGACTTTAGATGTTGAATCTGGTGGAGAGTTCATTTAACTGTTGGCAACACTGCTCGCTTTACACAAAAACATACTCAGCCGCGCTTTGCTGGTTCTGCCGTTCTTTGTAGTGATGCGCAAAATGTATCACTGAGCTGAAAAGATTGATACATATCATTTTGCTCAAAAGATATATGTCACTCATCTAGCTCATTTAGCTCACTAGCTCATTGATCCGATTTAATTGATTGGTCTCTCAGTTAATTCATTTATTCATCTTGATCGTTTTGTTCAGTATACTCGTATATCACTCACTTTAAGCCTCTCTCGCCACACAAACCTTTCTTTATTTTCATATTAACCTAAATTCAGTTTTTGAAACCACATTTATTTTTTAAAAATTTTGTTTAAATACAATTTTATTCATTTTGATAAGATTACAAAATTATTAACGCCCTTTTATATAATAATTAAAAATAAGAAATTATATGTTGTACTTTTTTTAGGTTGTATAATAGAAATCATACATAATTTGATTTTCCTTGTACTTGGCAGGCTTAATTCTTAAGTAATATTAAACTTTGATCCTATAGAAATAATGTACATTTAGCATAAAGAAACTTGCGTGAACTCAACCATCATCTATCCGATCATTTATCTTTAGTCTCACTCGCTCATGAAACAAAGATCGGCGTCGTTGAGCTAGTGAGCTAGCGATCTAGTGAGCTAGTACTGAGTTACTGATATATACGGAGCAAGTGTGAGTGAGTGATACATTTTATCGTCGTGAATGATAATATCTTTTATATCACTCACTCAGGAGCTACACAACTCTAGTTCTTTGTGTCGCTTTGACGCGATAACATTGTTAAAAAGTTATATTACTTCTTTTAAATAAGATATTGTTTTGTTTACTGCCTAGCAAGAATGCCGGCTAACAGTTTATGATTTATGCTAGAATGTTTTCTCTTAAATAAATACGATGACCGTGTCTTTTCTGAGAAATGTTTAGGCGAAATCGACATTTCAAATCTGTTCACTATAAAAAATCAAAGAATTATGTATAGCATACATACTTTTCAGAGACTTGAATTACCTACTCCAATATTCATGCAAATAATATGAACGGCGCTTAGATTATTAAAATGTATTTATATAAGGAACGGGGCCTAAACTACTGCTTTTATTAATACTACTCATATATCTACTATCTACTAATGTTATAAAGAGGAAAGATTTGATGTTAGTTTATAGTGAATAGGATCCGAAACTACTGGACCGAATTAAAAATGTCTTTCACCTATAGAAAGCTACATTATTAGCAAGTAACATAGGCTATCATTTATTTTGAAAATATAAT